CTGCACTGCTCAAGCTCAGTACTATTGAGCACACTATAGTCCTGACTGCACTGCTCAAGATGATGAGGCTGTTCTTGCCAAGGAGATCCAGCAGGTTGGGCTCTGTTTTTCTTCAAACAAGCCCAGTCAGTGCGCCTATCCCGGCTACACACTCTCCCTTTCCGTTTGCAGGCGGACCTGTCCACAGAGGCTCCTCCTAGCCCAGCTCCCACCTGGGGATCGGGAATCCTCGATGATGGGGGATTCTATGACCCCCCTGAATCGCCCGAGGGGCGGGACTATTTCCTGGATTACATTGGGACAGTCATCGTGCCCTTCGTGCTGGCCATCGTTCTGTGCCTCGTCCTGGCCTACGTCATGTGCTGCCGGCGGGAGGGCGTGTACGTACCCTTTCGCCATGTCTCTTCTGCAGGGGTCAGAGGTCAGGGGTCATGTGGCCCTACATACCCACTGAATTCCAGTCACATCCGCCAGTTCAGACACAGCATCAAACCCAATTTGATGGGCATGCACTAAAATTGTAAAAGCTAGATCAAGTAGTTGCCACATTACCAAAGAAACTGCTAATCTATGTCCTGCAAACTGTGCAAAAACTATGACAAACACATAAAAAGGCTTGAAATGCAAAAGTTAGTGTTAATCACAGTGCAATAGGCATTTAATCGCAGCCATTTTTATTTTCTTTTTGGAGTACTTCCCTCTGCTTTGGCAAAGCAAAGTTGTAGGAAGAGTTGAGGTGCCTTCAAGGACAGCGTGCCGAGTGTGAGATTGAAACTCACCTTAAACTCGACCACAACACACCATCTCATCTCTCTGCCTAAAGGTCTGACTGCATTAGACGCAGCAGGACTGATCCTCTGACCCCTTGGGAGTACATATTGGGATAATGCGGGATGTCTCGGAATACGAGGTCTAATCCTTATTTTTTTTTCTCCCCGTTTTCAGGGAGAGACGCAACGCCAAAACACCCGAGTAAGCTCCCGTTTCCTTCGCGCAGTTCTTGTGAAGCCGGAATGGCCTGATAAGTTCAGGACAAGTTGCTGTACTCCTCCCTCCTCTCTCTCTCTCCCCCCCCCGCAGGATCCAACTGTATCACCACCACACCATCCACGACAACACCGAGGAGCTCAGGAGCTTGGCGGGCAGCCGCGCCGCCGCCCGGCCCCTGTCCACCCTGCCCATGTTCAACGCCCGCAGCGGGGAGAGCATGCCGCCCTTCCGCTCGGACAGCGCCCACATCCCGCTCATCCTGGCCCAGCAGTGAGTCCCCATCCGTCGCCCACGCGTCCTGCCTGAAGCAAAACCCCTCCGCGACGATCCCTCGCACCCTTGTAGAATAATCTCCAGTTGCGCCAGTCGGGACGCAGATACCGGCTCCCCATCTCCGAAACCAACAGGTTTAAGTTCTCTTCCAGACCTGTAGACATATCGTTACTCGACACTTGACCGTCTATGCAGATACGCATGTATATCGTCGTTCCTGTCGCGTTTTTCTTTTTCTGTCCGTCTGCACACCAAAACCGCTGCTGTAAAACAACTTGCCCCCCCAGGGATAATAAAGACTCTCTCTTCCACCGTTTTTCCCGACTGAACACACACGCCTGGCGCCTGACTCGCACAGCCTAGAGGAGGTGTTAAGTGCGTCACACACAACGCGAGCCGGAGCACTCTTTTTTTTACAACCTTAGCGTCAGCTGTGCTTTTTATTTGATTTTTTTTTTCAGGGATCCAAACACCGACACACTGCCTAGGTAAGAAACAAGTCACAGACGTTCACGCCAACGGAGTGGGGAGAAAAAATAATCTTTTGCTCCGGAAGACGGGGAACGGGAAAAGCGCTCCCGCTCTGCAGTACCAACTCTAGCCAGCAGGTGGAGCCCTCTGCTGCAGCGACTCCCGGGAGTGAAGGGAGATTCGCCTCGACACCAAGCTGAAGTGACTATCCACAGCAACAGACTTCCCTTGTCGACATTTATTCACTCTTAACACCTGGAGGTCTTTGCTTCCACGAAACAGCTTATATCTAAGATGTCTTAGCAACAGTACAGCAATACAGGGCAGTGTTGCACATGTTTCGTTTCAAAATGTACTCTTACATAGGCCTGTATCTTTTTGTTTTTAGGTAAAAGCCCTTCCAGACCTCCAAGTACCCCGAGGACACAACTGTCTCCTTTAAGAAACCGTACATACCGCTCTGCTCTTCCAAGGGTGGGAAACGGCACCTCCGAACTGCCTGAAAAAAATGCCGTCCGCCGTCTATTCGAATAAAATCCAAACCTGCAGGCTCGGTGGTCCCAAAACTGCGTACCGGCCCCCGGAAGAGGAGCAGCTGTTCCTCCGACAACTCGCGGGACCTTCCAGCTCTCAGGAAGGAAATCAATGTTAATACCCCGGCAATTTCTCCCCTGCACAGAAATACTGCTGTTCTCCTGCTGTGCGCACTATTTACCAGTTGTGCATTATTGCTCTTAAGAGTTGGAAAAGGTATTTCACTGTAATCTGTACTCAGCGAGAAATTGTTTTAAACTGACGACTGATAAAGCGATCTCCGTCTCAAAAGTGTGTTGGTACCAGCAGCTGTCCGAACTTTTATTGATAAAAGAAAAAGATTTTTCCCTGCCTCGATGAAGCATTCGCTTGGGAAAACCTTTTGATTAAAAGTCAACCAACTATCTCAATCTTACGTCGTAAGTAGCGGCAGTAGTTTAACGGGAAATTGCAATGCTCTAACAAGATACAAACCTCTAAAAGAGGACACTTTTTTCCCCTTAAATACTCGCTGTACCACACTTTCAGCGCACAGGTTTCAGCGCAGAAAGACGCAGCTTGATTCAAACAATTGAATTGATTTTACATAGTTTTGCTGTTCGCGTCTATATTTAACATGGAGTACCGACTTCTGCAGGAATTAAAGTTTTAGCGTTGAGAACACGCTGCGTTAAACACAGTCCTCTTTGCTCTCCGAGTGAAAGGGTAGATTAATTGCCCCTCACCTTTCAGTCATCAAGTAACATCACAGAGTATCATTCACAAACCTTGAGCTTCAGAAGAATCAGACAGGTTTCTATCAAAGTAGTCATTGCATTGAAAGTTGCCATCCACGTTACATAAGGCTGCGCATAATTAAGAAACCGTGCAAATTCGAGTCATCGCGAGCAACGCATGTCAAGTCGACGCACCATAAGTTATTTTAGTGACAGAAATATTTCATTGACGACACACACACACACAAAAGTTCCCAAAAGCTGACAACTGAAACTTGCAAACCCTCCAAATGAGAAGTCAAGTAACGAGAAAAAGACGAAACAAATAAGTCCGTTGGTTGAAGGTGGGGGGGGAAAAGATGGCTTTCAATTGAATCTTCCAGCCACAATTGTTCGTGTTCATCCAAACTCCCTCCACGGCCAGCACAAGGGAAAACACAGGCGCTAACCCGGAATAATAAAACGCTTTAGCACAGAAACGCACTAAAGAACCGGAGCGTTTTACTTATCTCCACTCGGCGCGGAGCTCCGACCAGCGGCGGTGACGTCACCAGGTGCACAATGGTCGCCTTGTTACTCCGCGGCCGGAAGCAGTCAGATGCAGCGCTCGCGCCGCCCGAAAGGACCTCGTGTCTGCACCGCGGGGTGAAAGTGTAAGGATGGGGGTATGTCGGTATTGGGACAGACTGGTTTAAAAACTCGGACTGCCTCTTGCATTTGGTAGCATGATGCGAACAGTCAAGGACCAACATACAGTATAGTTTGATACAAGTGTTTTTCTCTCCCCTCAAACAGTCACACCGAAATCCCTTTGGTGGTTCCACACACACCAGGTGTAACTGCACACCTGGATGCACACCACCTTGCTTCAAGACTCAAGACTCAAGACTCAAGACTCGGGTTCTTGAAATAGGTGTACAAGCCACTACACCCACCCAGATGGGGCATCCCAAGGAGCAGGCTGTGGGTTGGGAGGATCCAGTCCCCAGACATCCGGCACATGCAGAGCTGCCCCCGTCTCTCTGTCCTTAGACTTCCGGATCCCAGCAGCTGACGCGGGGTTGTGTGTGCGGCCCGCTGAGATTGAGCTCTCCGAGAGGGGGGCCCACAGGACTCCTGGATCTCTCACGCCACGGCTCTGCTCTGGGCTGTGAGACGCTGCATCTCCAAGGCCTGTAGCAGCAGTGCGGAACCGTGAATCGCCTGTTTCCTTGATTGGAAAATGCAGAACAAGTACGATGGGAGGCAGGGGGGGAAATGCAACATCATTAGCAGGAGTGCTGCTCCTAAGAGCACCCCAGATCTGAAAACAGTAACTCCTCACAGCCATGGTTTCACACACCTGCCACAGGCACACATCAATGACCCCGTTTCTGCACAGAGGGTCAGTAGAGCACTTCTTTTACACTGACTCCAGACACACACTTCCCAGAGGATGCCTGCCATTTTAGGATGGTGTGGACTTGAGAGGAGCTCAGAGAAAAGCCCTCTTGAGCTGCAGGCTGGGACCCACTGTGGCCGAGAGAGAACTGTGCTGCGTGTGAAGTTCACAAGCCCCCTTTAGAAGGACGGACAGTGTCAGCTGAGGGGGGCAAGGATTTGGATGGTTAGTAGCAGGGCAGAAACTAGCCCAAAGGGGCAGCCTGTCTTGTCGTAGTGCTTTAGAAGGGCAGGTCGGGAGGTTGGGTACTGTCACCCCTCCGTCAGCTCGTAGTGGAGACAGCGCAGATGGCAAGAAGCATGCAGGGGGCACAGAGCAGTCTGGAGTCCACTGCCAAAGCCATGCACTTCCAGCCAGCACCAGCGTGCAAAGAAAAGGAAGGCAGCACAAGGAGCTGTGCTTCCTACAAGCACTACTGTGAAGATGCATGTGGCCCAGGCAATTCAGGACACAATGTTTCTGCTTAGCTTTCTTTGCACCAGCAATGGTGAACTAGATTCTCAGTAAGAGCCCCTCCAGGTCTCCCTCGATAAAGGACCAGCGAATAATCAGGAAAAAGTCAAAATACCATCTCACAAGAATTAGGTAGACCACTTAACATGCTTTATTTCAGCATTCAAAATAATTAAAAACATCTCAAATTATTATACATATACAAAATAGGTACAGATCCTTTTGTTTTACCCCCCCAAAGTGTGTCTGCTTCTCGGAATTTGATTTTTTTTTCCTGTTTTCACTTTTGAAACCTTTCGACTAGAGAGGAAAAACAAACAAAAAAAAACAAAACAAAAGTGAAGGTAGAAAGGGGGGGTGGACCGCAGGAAGCCATGGGGCAATGGAGAAGTGGGGGGGCATTTTGGGGGGGGGGGAATAAGAACAACTGGGGGAGGAACAGACAAGAGACAAAATCCACCTGCTTAATCTACAGAAGACAGGAATGCATTCACTGGGTCTACAGTAATGTCTCAGTTCTCCAACTCGGCTGTAGAGCTTTCAAGTTAACACCTTTAAAAAAACACACAATTATTCCTCTTTGACAGCGAGACACGGATTTGTTCATCTAGCACCAAAGGTCCTGTAAGCGTTCTGTGAAAATAATATATATCTTAAAAATATATTTTTATCATACACTGCTTGCGGGACCTCATGAAGAAATAGCACCTTTGCAGCTGTCACCTGCTTAATTATTTCTTTTTTTTTTTTGGAGTGTAAAACCTGTCCTGGTGTTTGCACACGCCCTAGGTAACATGGATTGTTTCTGAGGTAGCCTTAAAGATTTCAAAATGAAGTTTAACCCCTGTCTCTCTCTCATTTTACTTTCCCGATGACACTTTCTCTCTCTGGTTTTTTTTTTTTAAGAACAATGATTCCTTTTTCTCCTGGTGGTCAGAACAACAAGACACTTCGGCTGTCGTTTTTCAAATTTATTTAACACCTGAAAACGGTACATAGCATTTGGTTTTTCATTGTCCTTCCGCAGTGGTAAAAAAAATGGCAATAACGTCACCTGTATTCATTACTTTTTTGCTTTTTAAACTCCAGGGGATTTTACACTTTACAAGTATATATTATTTTCTTGTTGCCAGTGAAACAAAAGTTGTTTTTTTTTTTAAAAAGTGTCCTTGATGTAGGTGTCGGTAAAAGTAGTGGTCCCATGATTTTTTTGAAAAAAAATCGATAACACACAAACACCGTCTTCAGGAGTGTAGTTTTAAGCAAGTGGACCTTTTGCGGCCGAATGAAACTTAAGTTTTTTTTTTAATGCATAGAAAAGAGTTTAGAGAGATGACTGCTAGAAAAAAAAATTCAAGTCCAGATTTCTTTTTTACAAGAAGCAGACTGGGCCAACTTCAATGCCAAATTCCTGATCAGGTGCACCAACATCCATAGGAGCCAAGTCAATGATGGGGAGGCGGGATGTTTTCGTTGTCTTGTAGTCAATGACTGTCTTGCCCCATGAGCCAGTGTGTCTCTGCAAGTGGGGAGAGAAGGACAGGGTCAGTGGGGCTCTTCCAGCTGGAGCATTATCAGTGCTGGCACCTTTCAACCCCCCAGCCTACAGCATACAGTAACGTCCTCCTTGGCATGGCAAAGCGGATCTAATGCAACTGATTGCACATAAACAGATTATACATTCTCGCCTGCTCCCCACCCCTTCTTACCCACTCTGTCTTTTGTTCTCCTGTGCCTTATTTATTTGCTATTTTCCCTCTGCCCCTCACACCACAGCCGAAACGTCGCGTCTCTTTTCTTCACCTTTCAGCGTGGAACAAGTCTTTACCTGTTCCTTTGCCGCCTACCTATGCTTGAACACTTTATAAAGAGGCCCACTTTATCCCAGTGTTTTCCGGCTACGGGCTACGGGCACGTCACACCCGTGCTGTTCTTGCCCCGGCTACTGGGCGATCCGTCCCTATCCCTGTGTTAGCGGGCCCGGAATGAGCTGTTTTACCCCGGCATCCCAGTGCAAGGTAACAGGGAGGAGGAGGGACTCACCGTGCAGCCATCCTCGCTGACGCTGTATGTGAAGCGGCTGTTGCCCTCAGCTCTGATCTCGATCTCGTTGGAGCCTTGCAGGAGCAGGGCCTTCTTCAGGTTGCCAGCCTCCTGGTCCATGTAGGCGATGCTGTTCTTGCAGTGGTAGGTGATGTTCTGGGAGGCTTCAGTGGACATCAGGCGCAGGAAGGTGAGCTGGATGTTGACATCATCAGCGTTGGAGCCCTCGCCGCCATATTCGAACTGCACGGGGAGGAAAGAAGAACTCAGCTCAGCATATCTGGGCACCCCTCATCTCCAAGCCAGGCAGGAATACAAGATCTTTCTGCTGCCAGAGCAATAGTTCACGGCCTCATTTGTGCTCACCTGGAAGCCATCGCTCATTGCCTCGCCGAACCAGACGTGCTTCTTGTCCTTGGGGTTCTTGCTTGTGTACCAGCTCTTCTGGGGGGCGGTGGCCGTGGTTGGGTAGACGCAGGTCTCGCCAGTCTCCAGGTTGCAGTGGACCTTGATGGCATCAAGAGTGCAGCCCTGGTTGGGGTCAATCCAGTACTCTCCTGTGGGACAGATGGAAAAGACGGGGAGTGAGCGCTGTGTGCACTGAGAAGTTACAGCAGGGGGACTCCATTAAGAGCAGGGAGACCCAGATGCGCTTGTTCCCTATAGACTCTCTTGGGTTTAGCAGTCCTGCGAAGTCATAGAGAGCAAAAGATTTTTGTGATCTCTGTGATGTCTAAAGCCTTCAGCAATGTCTCCTTCATGAGAGGCCGATGTTGTGCTTTACTGTGCATTGCGAGTTCCCGGCACAGTTGCTTTTGTTCAAAGCCATACTTGAGTTTTTCCTTTGGAATTGCTGGAGCTTTGACACTGCAGGACACTGTCCTGCTCCTGCTTTTTTAGACTGCTGTGCTTGTCCCGTCCGGCGCCCACACACTAGGAAGGGGCGCCAGACACAGGAGGGCCAACTCACCGCTCTTCCATTCAGGGTGGCACATCTTCAGGTCCTTGCAGGTGCGGGCGGGGTTCTTCTTGGTGCCCTCGGGGCTGCGGATGTTCTCGATCTGCTGGCTCAGGGACTTCAGGGTGGAGTCCACCTCCAGATCGCGGTCGCGGACCACATTAGCGTCATCGGCTCTGTAGTGACGGAAGGGATCGGGGGCCTTCTCCTGAGCGGGCTGGGCAACGAAACCGAAGTCGAATCCACCTCCGGGGGGGCCGGGGGGTCCGGGGGGTCCAGGAGGTCCAGGGGGACCCTGGGTAGAGAGGGCGAGAGGAGAAGCAGGGGATCAGAACCTCAATGGGACACAGAGTGAGATCAGAGAATGCAGAGAATGGGATCAAGGTTGATGACTTACAGCAGGGCCAGATTCACCAGTGCGACCACGGGGGCCAGGGGGGCCAATGGGACCGGGCAGACCACTCACGCCATCCTTACCAGGGGAACCAGCACTGCCAGCGGGACCCTTGAGGGGGGAAGAGAGAGAACCATACAGGTTAGACCAGAACAAGGACCCTCGACAGCACCCTCCTGATTCTTGACTGAGGCAGGCTTAGCTCTTAGTTTTGGAGAATAGGAAGAGACCTGTTACTGAAAAGTAAAGCCAATTCTGCTCTCTAGTTATGAATAATCACATTGTTTTGTGCACATCATCCGCTGGTATGTGATGAACTTCACGCGTTTCCCTCCGTGACTAAGATCGAGCCACGGATAAAGACATGCACCCACCACACGCTATCAGTGTGCTGGTGCTGGACTGCTGTAACACAGGTGTGAAGGGATGTACTCACTCTTGGTCCAGCAGGGCCAGAAGCACCAGCAGGTCCAGCTTCTCCAGGAGGTCCCTATGAGACAAAATATTAGAGGAGCCCGGGTCACCTGTTTCTTGGCGTGACGCATGCACAAGAAGAAACCAGTTTGCTTCTGAGACTGGCACAGCTTGCAAATCAAAGAGAGCAGCAGAGTAAAAACAATTAGCTATTTTATTCTTTATATTCCTCTTTCTAGAGCCACTTAAGGTGAAAACAGAAAAGGAAGAAGCCAAGCTAATAATTTTGGAACCAGATGTACTGTATATCCTGACCGTTTCAGTCATCTGGGAGGCTGGAAAAACCCCCATTGCGAATGGGCTTCAGACAAAATAAGACAGCCAGTGTCTATGTGTCCCGTGTCTTTAACAAAGGACTTTATTTTTTTAAAGTGCATGTATTACCTATCAACAAGATTAAAACAGCAGAGTTGAGAGGTGGAGGTAATTATAATAAGGAAACAAAGGCATCAGTATTATTTAGCTTTTTCCACTTGTGAGATATTCCTGCATAACAAAATATAGGCCTTTTTTTTTAAAAGCCCAACAAGGATAAGTTCATCATCTAAACAATGAAGTTGAGACTTCCAACTGTGAGCGGTAGGAATTGTTGACGCTACTATTTCACCACCTGCTAGTTCAAGTAAAGTTTATTAAAAGAAAAGCCTTGTGAGAACAACAAGTCTGGAGAACAAGTGTGGAAAAAGGAGAGGATGATGACACCCTTAGAGGAGGTCATAAAATGTTATCTCTGAAGGTTTTTGTACAAAACCTGTGTTTTTTTTTTCAGGCCTTCATGAAAGCTGCTCATCTTAAATCTGGAAAATTCTGAGAACACAGAGGCTGAGGACAGTCAGGAGGATGAAAGAGGAGAGAGTTAGGAACAAAGCAGCGATAAGGTCAGCGTTTGTCTTTGGGAGTGTGTGTCTAAGGTTACTCACAGCGGGACCGGGCAGACCCTGCAGGCCAGTGAAACCTCTGTGTCCCTTCATGCCTCTCTCACCAGCTTCGCCAGTCTCACCCTTGTCACCACGGGCACCTTGAGCACCCTGGAGAAGGAGAAAAAGTGTGTCCAGTGAAGTGCCTGACTGCAATTAACACGTTCACGTGTCCTATGGCACACGGAACATCTAGGTACTAAAAAGCATATAGAAATGGATCACTTACAGCAGGACCACGAGCACCAGCAGGGCCAGCGGGACCAGCAGGACCAGCAGGTCCCTAGAATGGAAAGAGAGATGTAGAGGAGCAAAGTTAACAAAATAAAATGTGAATGAGAGCCATCTTCCTGTCGGCACTCAGGCAGAATCAATATGGCTGCAGTATGGACCTATTCTTACAGAATGGACAGGAGATGGTTTGAACATTCCTGCTATCTATACAATCATCCACACAATACTAGGCAGAGTGTTACTTCAGAGCCATAATCAGAATTATTAGTATCATAAAGGACAACCAAAAATGATATTTCTTTTACTTCTTAATTTTTGTTTTCTTTTAGGTACAACACATGAGTATCTTAGGTTGCTAGTCTTCTGATTATTCTTTTTCAAGGGCCATTAGAACAGATTTTTTACCTATTTTTGCCCAAATCTGAACTGAATATGAGAATATTAAACAACTCTGAGCTGGTCTTTTCTGCTCTTTTGTCTTCATGACACTTGACCGCGGTTCACCTGAAGACAGTGACAGCGCTGAGCTTTGTATTGTGGACAGTATGCCTGTTTCCTCTGCAGTTCGAGCGGAAGGGATACTCACGGCCTCGCCACGATCACCAGTCTTGCCAGCAGGGCCAACAGGGCCGGGAGCGCCAGGAGCACCGGGGGCACCAGGAGCACCAGCAGCACCAGACTCACCACGGTCACCCTGTAGTAGAGAAAGACAGTGAACTGAGTTAGTGGCAGGCAAACACGTTGAACTGCACTGCAATAACAAGTCACTGCCAGCAGGGGAAAGTAGTGCTGTGCATTAGTACTCCATAATGTCCGACACTGAGGGGTAGTACTGGGCGCAGCACTCGCACAGTGACGGTCTAAGCAATATACATCACCGCTTACTGCTCACGCCATGCAAAATCCCAGGAGCACTGACAATAAATGATGTCAATGACGCTGCAGCTCACTGTGGACAGGACCGCGGTGCGTCACCCCAGTGCACCACGCGGACTTCCAGAAAGTGTTGGTGGGGATGTCTTTCGTGCTGCACAAGAGGTTTATGTAAATGAAGACAGGAGGCTTACCTTAGGACCAGGAGCACCATCGCGACCAGGAGCACCCTCGTTACCAGCAGCACCCTGCAGGGAGACAGGAGGAAAATCAGTCAGCTGGGTCACTAAAGGACATCTGCATTTCACGGCACAACATACTGGACAGGGAAGGGGATGCCAGCATGCCCCATCTTTGTCTGGCTGCAGCATCTGATTCAACTGATTTTTCGCCTTTGAATAAATAGGCAGGTTGCATGTGCAAATGAGGTTACATATTTCCTAATCAAACAGCACTTGAGAGAAGCATGTTTGCAGTGGGAAAACCCTAAGCATGATTTACTTTACAGCTTCCGTACACCTAGGAAGCCGAGGTTTTCTGTAACGTGTAAGCATGCTTTCTGTATGCCTATTGTATAAGCCTTTATGCCCATGCTCCAGCTTGGTCCACCCTGTTTCACAGTGGGTAGGTTCCCTAGACCTGGGAGCAAGTTTCATGGGAGAGAATTTCCTCACCTCACGTCCAGCTTCACCGGGAGCACCAGACAGGCCAGGGGGTCCCATGGGGCCAGGGGGACCGCGCTCACCAGATGGGCCACCAGGTCCCTGCTTTCCAGGCTCTCCCTATCAGAGACGGAGAAAGACAGTGCTGGGTCAGGTCTCCAGCAGCGACTGAAGAGTGAAGTCCTGAAGTCCTGAAGTACAAGGACATTCCTACTAAAGGTCCAGTTCAGCAAAATACCCTAAGGGGCACAGTTATGTGAGAAAAGGTTATACAAGTAACAGATCAAGACTGTGGCCTTGAACAAGTTTCGTATGGTGTCTGCCTTTGTACACAAAGCCCATGTCCATGCATGTGATCCCTATTTTATGTGCATTGGATCACATGCATGAACATTTGTGCATCTGTGTGAAAAACGAGATGTTTTAAAATTCTCACAAAAGTCCATCTACTGCCTGTAGAAACAGAAACATGCTTCTAATGACTTCACAGTGATACTACTTTAGCAAATCAACTGCATACAACGCAGACAAGCTCTTCCATTTGAGCCCATGACTACTTATTGCCTCCTGCACTCCGGGTATAGCACACAGGTCTGGAGTCCAGTGAAGTCTCAGACAATGTAGGCTGCAGGCTTAGAGGGACTCTTAACCCATTAATAGCTGCCATCTATGCGATTAGCTAATGAGAGAATATTCTAATACTCTGCTGCAGGTTTCAGGACCTGCCCTGGTGGTACTGAATACTCACAGAAGGTCCAGGGAGACCAGGGAAACCGCGCTCGCCTCTCTGTCCAGGGAGACCCACAATACCACGCTGTCCAGCAATACCCTGAGGACCAGGAATACCAGGAGCACCCTGTGGAGATACGAAGAGGAGAGAGGAGGATTTACCCAGCGCACTGGAGCAGGCAGAGTAGGTCCAAGAAAAAAAAAAGAATGTGCCAATGTTCAGATTCATGCTCTCCTGCTGTGACCTCTGATACGACACCCTGTGGCCAGAGGTGATGCCCACATCTCATCTGCTACCTTGTTTGCCAAGGGTCACAATGACAAATTGTGCACAACCTCTCCCAGCTAACCTTTTTGGGAGTGTTGTCTCCAGTCTGCTTGAATACAACTGAAAACCTGGGTATACTGATTTCATGGGTCCTGCAGGCACATGCACTCTCTGAATGAACTGCAAGGGCAATTCAATGGTATGGACACCGTGGCCTACTACATCCCATCATGCAATTCACCTATTGATCCTTTTTTGCCTTTATGGAAATCTGATTAGATCGAACTAGGTGTCGCTGAACCCTGAGCTTTTATTACATGGAGGCAGCCATGTTTGATGTTCTCTCTGAGCCCTGCAGTGACACAAGCTCGTGCTATAACTCCAGCACTTGAACCTCCAGGTCCCCCGGAAGGGGGGGGGGGTCCCTACACTAACACAGAGGTGCTGAGAGGCAGAGAGGTTGGAACTCACAGAGGGACCATCAGAGCCAGGAGATCCCTTCTCTCCAGCGGGGCCAGGGGGACCAGCAGCGCCAGGCTCACCAGGGCGACCAGCAGGGCCAGTGTCACCACGGTTACCCTTCTGTCCTTCCTTTCCAGCAGGGCCAGGGGGGCCGGGAGGTCCGCTGTTACCCTAAGAGAGGAAGAGAGAGGGAGGGAGAGAGGTTAGGGTCAGGCACTTTTTCTAGCTGATCCAGATGTCCAGAAGAATTAGAGTAAAATGTAAATGAAAACAGGATTTAGCATGATACTCTTGCAGGTGTGGATGCACAGGTAATGAATGACCTTTCCCTGAATGTTGAGAAAACCAAATGACCATCGTTAACAAAATTAATGGGGGAAGTAAAGGTTTTAGGGAAGAAGCTACTGAACAGTGCAGCAATGCACTGCACTCCATTTACTGATGTGTAGCGTCATACTCTAAGAGCTGAGAATTGAAAAGTTCCAACGCAACACAGGAATCTGGCCAATGCAGCTGTCTCAGTGCCTCCTTCTCACCTGCTGCTGACAGCCAGGGAGATATTCTCACAGGAACCATCATCTACATAAGAATTACAAATTCTTTTTGCACCCATAATTTATATGTAAGATTTTGCCAAGTGAGTTTTTGCATACAGATTTTATGCAAATTAATTCAACACCTGTGGTTGGGATTATGTAAAACTATTCACAATCGGAAGCATGAGGGGTTGTGGTTGAATGTTTGCAGTGCTCAGGGTGCCCTAAAAGAGAGAGAAGGTACTCACAGCAGGGCCAGGGGGTCCAACTCTTCCAGCAGCGCCAGGGAAACCAGTAGCACCCTAAACACAAGAGCATCCACAGGTGAGATTACCAACACCCCAGAAGCAGAACCCCACAAAACCTCAACTCCCTTACAGATTAAAAGCCCCACAAGTAATATCTATTTATACACAGATATCCGAATTGATCCAACAGTGTGTTTTAAAAGAAACTAATACAGTGACCTAGGACATCCATTCGCACATGATCAGAAGGCCACTTATTTCTAACAAGGGTCATCTGAAAGAAAATTGATATTTTAGGGATATGAACCAGAGGAATCCCTACTAGAATGCTAGTCAGGATTGCTATGAAATAAAGGAGCTCTTGGCCATTGCTATTCAGCCTTGTATCAGATCTTGTATCAGTTCACAGAAAGATACTCACAGGAGGACCAGCAGCTCCACGAGCACCTTTGGGACCAGTAGCACCAACGGGACCCTGGCAGAATAAAACAAATCCAATTGCAATGACAGATTAATACACACATGCACTGACATCCATGTGAACACGTTTACCTATCTGTTAACCAGACTTCCTAGAAATCTGTCTGCTGGAAATTGTGATATTCGCCTCCAGTTTGCTTCTTTCTACTTCAGTCTTATATCTTGAGCCTACATTGTACAAGCTCACACCTATATTGACAACTTTATTAATCAGTTATGTTCACACAACTGCCAATAGTCAGACAGGATTATAATTGCTGGTGGAAAATAATTAATCATCACTTCATTATGAGTTAATCTGTAAAAATGAGCAAATATGAAAACAATCCAACTGATATCAGCACTTCCGTCTAAATAGCATATGCCAAAAATAATCTAGATTGCAAGCACAAAGAAACTTTCACCTTGACATCTTATGTTTGTTACTACTTTATAAGAGAATGCTTTCAGTCATGTAGCTGGCAGGTGAAAAGGGTGCACAAGTGTAATCCTGTGAGCTGAGGTCTCTCTCAATGTAGCTGAGCTTTGTGAATGGGGAGAGGAACAGCTCAGGGAATTGCCCCAGAGAGGGTGGACACTTACCTGAGGTCCAGGAGCACCAGTAGGGCCAGCAGGGCCAGGAGCACCAGCATCACCCTTAGCACCACTATCACCAGGCTCTCCCTTGGCACCAGGCTGGCCATCAGCACCCTGTAGGCAAGAGGGTGAGAAAGTGTCAGCAAACATGTGAGGCTGAGCTGGAGTAATGTGAATTGGAAGATCACTACTAAATCAATAAAGCTATCAGAGCAATCAACCCTATTCACTTAAATTGGAATTAGGTTCATTTAGATTTCATTTCAGTAAAAACTGCATTCCAGGCTCAATCGGTGTTAACAAGTGGTCAGTATACTCACAGGAGGTCCAGCGAATCCAGCAGGTCCGGGGGCACCAGTCTCACCACGCTCGCCCTGGAGAGGGGGGAGGAGGAGAGGATGGGGTTACTCTAGGATATTGCTGGACAGGGCAAGGCCCAGGGGTCAGGGTCACTGTCGGGCCACGGAGAACTGCACATGGGCGGGGTAATGATGAAGGGCACTGCTGTGATCTGCATGCATAAAGGATATGCTGCTTCATTTTGTATAATGCCATGGGAAAAGCAGCCAGTTCTACTGAGTCTGCTTAGGATTCTACTGAATCTATGCAGTGAAGGGGCTGAAGTCCTCTTGCAAACCTTCAGCAATCTGCTGCATCTACCTTGTGGATGTAACATGGAAGCCTACGAGGACCAGCACTGGTGTCATTTTACTGTCCCCGCACAGAGCTTGCAGGGGAAAGTGCTGGCTGTTACAGTGTGTTCACCAATGGACACAGCCACGCTAGTGAGATACTTACAGGGGCACCACGGGCGCCAGAGGGTCCAGCAGGGCCAGGAGCACCACCCTCACCCTAGACATGGGACAAAAAGGGAGAGAGATCAGAGAGACAAGTCAAGAGAGCTCATGGCTCCCACTATCCTTCTAATCTCTAGTGGAAGTCATAGTGGAACTGCATTCATATTAGTTTCTTAAAAGCACAAGCAGCTCCAAAAATAGAAAAAAAAGAGTTTATGCTCTATGTAGCTCAATTTATAATTATAAGACCAAAAGTAAACCTATTTCAACATCATGGGATTTTTTTCATGTGCTAAGGCAAGGATCCTTAGACCATTAAATTATATCAGCACTATAACACTATAATAATGCTGACCTACAACTTCAGCCATGTCTTGTACCTCTTTCTCCAGACACTAGACTAGTAGACCCTGACTGGTTAAAACACAAATGCTGTCGCAGTACACTTTCTACTTCCTTTTCCCAGTTTGTTGTTCTTTTCCTTTGGACCTTACCTTGTCACCTTGAGCTCCAGGAGGACCAGGGGGTCCAATGGGACCAGCCATACCACGGATGCCATCCTTGCCAGGGGCACCATCAGCACCCTTGGGACCACCATCACCCTGTGAAAGAAGAGTGCATCATTCCTGCTGTTCAGACACACAAAGCCCTCAGCTCCTGTGTTATGGCCAGTAGAGGAGAAAAGCTGGGGTAATGGTGGGGAGTGAGGATTCTGTTACGAAAAGGGTTGCAGGCAGGTTTGTTTTCTGGTTTAATAGCATGTTGCTATTGCTTCTACTCATCTCCGTGGAAGTATAAAATGGAAAAACTGACATTTGTAATGAAGAGAAATCAATCGATACTGGATTTTTTGATGGAGCAGTATGGATTTTTGAAAGGTGAGGGAGGGAGGTTTATAGAATCAGGGCTCTCTCATCTATGATAGATCCTTGTCTCTCTGTACAATATGAAGAAATCCCTTCAATTGCAAGATGCCAGAATTCTTTTTAAGATAAGAAGGCTACATTATCCACAGGTGTATCCCTAATTCCATTGTCTGTATACTTGCTATACATGTCTATCATGGAAAAGGAAAACATAGACAGGGAATACTTGTTCGGACCACCAAACCCCTTTTAAACAGCCTGGGGAAGAGGTCAGGGCACTCCCCTCTCTGGCCTGAGGCCCCCTGCCTCACCTATTGAACACAGCAGGTAACACACCCTGCCTGGGTCACTTCACAGCAATGTTATGCTGTCCCGTTTTCAGAATTTAGCTCTTGCATCTGTTCAAGACAGGAGAGCCAGGAATTCTGGTTGGGAGACTTGTCAAGGACCCTCTAAATGATGGATACTATCACAGCACATACTTACTCTGTCACCCTTCAGGCCTGGGAGACCAGCAGCACCACGCTCACCGGGCATTCCCTGCAGACCAGGGGGTCCCTGAGCACCAGGGGCACCTGGGGCACCAGCATCACCCTGTAGACGGAGAGGGAAGGGTAGGTAATTAACGCACAGTCCTGCAACAGCAAACACTGCATACAGCAGTATCACACAAGGCAGGGTGACCCATGATGTCACGTAATATTTTAACCCTAGAACAAGTGCACACCATGCTCAAGCATATAGGTTTATTCTTTTTCATTTAACTCGGCTATTTTATGGAAGTGTTGTGTTTACATGTTTCACAGATGATGATGCATAAGAACCATAATGTGTTTTTCTAGGGTGGTGTAAAGTTTTTCAGCATGGTCACAACTGGGCCATTCAGCCACTAATTACTGGCTTGGTTCTATTTCTGTATTCCTCTGCTTTCCACTGGGATCAAGCAGCAGGTGGATCTACAGCTTGTCTTTCGCCACCCATCACTACCTATACCATTGCAATGGCTGGTTGTGTGCGTTACTCCTTGTTGAAGCTGAGCTATTTTGTTGACCCCAAATGTGTGTCACAAGTTTTAATGGATCTGAATGGTTCTGTGTTGCGCACTGAGCTATAAACAAAGGCCACTGTAGGAACTGGGTGAAATAACATGAAAGGCGTGACACGTGCTTGTACGGACTGCTTTGTTGGAGATGCCCTGTCCTCTGCGCACAGGATGTGGCAGTAGTGCGAGATGCATGTATAGTGTGCACTACATTGCAACGTGCACAACACCGAAAATGTGGTCATGCTGAAGAGACGGGTGTGTGGCACTGGGGCACAGAAATGGCCCTTGAGTCCCAGTCCTCACCTTGGCACCATCGTTACCAGGAGAGCCAGGAGAGCCACGGGGGCCAGAAGGTCCAGCGGGTCCAACACCACCACGCTCACCGGGGAAACCTCTCTCGCCCTGGGGTGGGAAGCAGAAGGGAAAGAAGGGGCATTAGTGATGGGACGCCCAGGACAGGGCCGAAAGAGCAACATGACCTACAGTAGTTTAAGTGATGGGATACTCACTCTTGATCCAGAGGGACCGGGAGCACCAGCCTCACCAGGAGCACCCTGTTTGAAGGAAGAGATGAGCAAAATTAGGATCTGTATCCCTTTCTAAATAAACACCAAATGAGTTATGATATCTATAGTAATGATATACCAGTGCTGAGGCACCTATATTAATATCGTTCTCTAATCAGGCTAATGTAAAAGTAGATCTACATATATACCTACTGTGCATGCTGCAGTTTAATTTCTACTAGTGTGGATTATTGTAGGATATGTCATGGTGCCAAAGACATCCATGTCATATTTCTGTCAAGAGGTATAGAAGTAACAAGGAGAGAAAGAATTGCACACTACCATATTAAGCCCGATAGTATTTTATTCTGTTTATACATCTAAACCTTTGTTGACTACATTGCTGGCTACACCTTCAGCATCTTGAAACCTCCCAGTAAGGAGGCAATGCAAGATGACACTCTGTAAAGGTACAATTCTCTGACTGAAAGAAGATTTGAGATTTCTATTCTGGTCATATCTCTGCCACTGCATTTCACAAATCCAGGATATTGTGATCAAATTAATGTGTTTCCTCTTTTCAGATGCACCCTGCTAGGGTGAGCTGGCACAGTACAATTACATAGGAATTTGGGTAATAAAACATGCTTTTTAGAGAGGAAATATTACTTTTAAAGAGGTATGGATACAGTACTTTTATTAGGAGCTTTTTCTAGCTAATATGGAGGAGAAAGTGAGAAAATGCAAGGGCAATATAACAAAGACGCAGTATCAGTAGGAAGGTGCCTGGGCACTGCAGTGCTTACCTGTTCACCAGCCTTGCCAGGCTCACCAGTGGCACCTTGGGGTCCAGGCAGACCCTGTATGAGGAAAACAATACAACTGTTTAATACATCAGGTCCTAGACAAAACGCCGGGACTGAACAGTGACTTGGAAAATTCCCATCATTGAGGAGGACTTACCTGGAATCCAGGAGGACCAGAAGGACCTTGCTCACCTCTCTCACCAGCGGGACCCTGAAATGTGAAAAGTAATCTGACTTAATAAGGTCCATCGGTCCATCGATGGATACCATCGGTACGCGGTAACGCGGTGCGTGTTCCTTTCAGAGCGAGCTATCTCCTAGGGCTGTGCTCTTCATCTAACACAGCTGCAGAAAAGGAAACTGTATGTGTCTGCAGGACTGCTGCACAGTTAATGCCAACAGAGGCCAAAAATGGACTCTGCTGCATTTGAATGTTTGAAGTCAATCTGTGTTTCTCCGAAGGTGTATCCTTACAGGACTTCTTTATTAACGCAGTTAAGACTTACAGCATATAAGGGCCGCTTCTCTCCCAGCCCTGATCAATGGGGTGCAAAGTATGCTGTATTTGGATAAGTCAGGTCATGGGACACTTTGTTAAATGTTTGATAATGTTATATATTTTTTTCTGTATGGGAAATAAGTTGTACTCACAGCAGGGCCAGGAGCACCGGGGGCACCAGCATCACCATCTTTGCCAGGAGCACCCTAGAGGAAAACAAATGGCACAATAATAAGTCAGGTTCTATTGTAAATGTAAAATTAATCTAATTAATTGTGTTTCATTAGGAAGCTACAGTTGTGTTTTTAAGCAGTGCTAATACTGGCTTCAAAGTACTTGTTGTTACTTGAAAGAGTTCTGCTGTAGACATGACTAGGCCTTATTTTCTCAGCTGTTGCCATGGATACCCAAAGGGCTCTGCAGGCCTTTACCTGGGCCTACCTTCTGGCTGACACAGTAAAACCCTGAATCTCACTATCCAGGGATGAAGAACTGAAAATAATCTTAATACAGAACTGGAAAAGTGTTACTTACAACTGCGCCAGGAGGACCAGCAACACCTCTCTCACCGGGCTTGCCAGCTTCACCCTAGAAAAGGGAAGGAAATATTTCATTTTCCAGTGGCCAAAATATAAACCGGCGACACAAGCTCAAAAAAGCAACATTTAAGGTCTTCAAGCAGCCTTAAATTTATTGAGAAATTTTACAAAACCATGCAAATTAACTTTCAAAGGGTGTCACTTCTGACCAGTCTGTGATAAAGAGAAGCTTTTCTGAATCTTTCATTGATTTTGTAGATCTACTGTACGTTTTCCGTTTGCAAAATTAAAATGGCTTCTCCCTCTAGCAGGACTATTAGCTTGTTTAATGACTGAAGACTCCCGATTGTGTGTACCAGCATGAGGTCTATTCACTCTGCTCTGAGAATTCAGTTTCATCTTATGGTTTAACACATCACCGTTCCCCAATGATATTTTCCAAACAGCCTTATTTTTCTCAGCAGCACCCCAAACCCCACTGCAACCCTAGAAAGAGGTGGCACTCACAGCAGCACCCTTGGGTCCGGGGAATCCCATAACACCAGGCTGACCTCTTGCACCAGAAGGTCCAGGGGGGCCGGGGCGACCATCTTGACCAGCAGGACCCTGTGGGGGAGGAGGGGGGGGGGAATTAAAGGCTTAATAAGCTCTGCTATTGTATCAGCACTCATGTAACACTAATGATGATCACTATGAGAACTTTTAGTTTACTTTCCGCTGCCTATGCTATAGGATTATGGTTTATCTGAAAAGAACATACTGGACAATGCAATGCAATCCTTTGCATTTTCTAGATCTATTATAAAGATCCAACATGCAGTAAAATTCATTTTTTAATTTTAAAATAATTTAAATTATCTAATAGATCCTAATAATTCCTACATCTGTATGTGGCCTAGTCCTCATGAAGTGTAATGAAATTTAAAAAGTCTTTTTAGGTCCATCTTGGTTTTTTCCCTGTTGAATCTTTTTTGCATTCAGCATGAAGCTATAACTAGCCTAGTCATCGGAGCTATGCAGATTGTTTCACTAAATCCCTCTCTATTGCACCTTGTTTCTGACTTCTTTTTCTTACCACAGCACAACTGCTTTAGCTTGCTGATTATCTAGCTTTTTTTTTAACATTGATTTTGCCTTTTTGGCCTTCAGAGGCAGCTGTGGTGGGAACCAAGCAGTCCTATAATACTTACAGCAGGACCAGTCTTGCCATCGGGACCAGGGCTGCCAGGGCTACCAGTCAGACCCTAGAACAAGAGAGAAAACCACATTTCAGCCAGTGCACCCAACAGGCTTCCCACAGGGCTGGTCCATTTCCATGGAGGCCTCCGCAAATAAGCAAGGCAGTCTTGCGGTTCAGCATGTTCCACACAAACAAACACGGCCATGGTTTTCTAATGTGCAGGTGCTTCACTTTTGCAGCATGCTCTGAGAAGGGGTATATCTTGGTCAAATTCACAACCCGGGAGAATTCTCCTGTAGGTGAGACTCTATCCAGAGTGTGCACAATGAGAAAACAGATGCACTGCTCCTCCTAAAAATAATATTTTTGGTAAGCAGGCCACAGGCTCCATCTGTGACCTGTACTTAAGTGCATGCCCAGAGGAGGAGGTACTCATATACTATATTATGTGCACCACTTAAAAAGACTTAGAGGCTGTCATGTCCAGTTTTATTGCATGAGCATGCAAAATTACATGTATTTGCCAAGCATACCGACAGGCATACTGTACTCACCTTAGCACCAGGCATACCAGGCTCACCGGGACGGCCAGCTTCACCAGTTGATCCCTTGGCTCCAGCAGGGCCGGGGGCTCCACGCTCACCAGGGGCACCCTGTGTAGGGACAAAGAGTCCAGAGATGAGTCCTGCGCAGTTCCTAACCTCTCACTGCACTGTGGACTGAACGAGGCCTCCTGTCTTTCAGGACCATGGACAGCGTAGTAACGCACTATGCATATGCAATGCTGTTATTTCACTATAAGAATGCTAAAGAAAGCTGTATGTAGCAGAGCCAGTCTGCCTAGTATAATTACACTGCATTACTTTAAGTTTAAATTGCTTACCATTGCAGTATAGGAAATAAAATGTAACAAATTTATGAAAGTGGTAATGCTGCATTAAATATAGATCTAGCTAAAATGTATAATAATTGCGCATAAATTTTTGTTTAACCTTTTAAGCTACAAATTCACTGGTAAATTAATTAATTGACAAAGGTACTTATGTATTAGTTTTGGATTATACAGTGTTTGAAACACTTACTCATCTTCATCAGTTTTATTAGTACAGCAGCTATATCTGTTTGTCAGCAGGTTTCAGGATGCAACAATAACTAACATCAGTATCTCATCATGCGAGTTGAGGATATCAGTCTGCTCACCTTGGGACCAGCAGCGCCATCAGCACCGGGGAAACCACGGCCTCCGGGGGCACCCTGCATAAGGGCAACAATGTCATTAGGCACCCGCCACCACAAACCGCCTTAACAAACAACAACCTACAACTAACCGCTGTGCACTGGCTGAAATCACTGTGAATCTTGTTTTGCCTTGTGTTTTGGTGACTTTGGCCTGTTATTTGAGCCTAATGTTGTACTCATAATGACAAGGGGGAGGCTGACTACTCAAAGGCCCCCTTGGTGGTCTGAAAAGCTATAATTCTCAATTTTGTGCTGCTTTGCAATTCTACAATATTTCATAGCAAGCCAGTTTCGTAGCACTGCTATAAGCTTTTATCCTTAATAGTCTTCCTCTACATAAACATGAACCAGTTCAATCTGATTTTATTCCTCGTTGATTGCTGTGCCAAATCCCCTAAATCAGTGCACTAATCTAGATGGTGAGATGCACTTACTAGGGGAAACAACTGGTTCAAATTTCATTTGCATGTTCTGCATCACAAATGAATACATTTCATTCCATGTAAATTGGGGTAATATATATATATATGCACTGCATTAAGCAGACAGTTAATTTTATGTAAAAGCAGTCTGTTGTATTAAAGTTGTCAAGTTCCCAGGCCAAGGGTCAGGGTCATGGCCTTCTGGAACGGTGACCTGGATCTCAGGGAGACAGCTGGTCAGACAAGGAGAGACAGTGGGTCAGACGTACACGCTCGCCAGCAGGTCCAGGGGGTCCAGCACCACCAGGCTCACCACGGGCGCCTCTCTTTCCTTCCTCACCAGCAGGGCCAGGGGGACCCTGGACTCCGACGGGACCCTGGGCACAGAAACACAGAGGTCAGGCCCAATGTGGACACACTGACAAGGATTAGTAAAAACAGGTCAGCTGGAGAAGTTCAGTTGCTTACATTGATTAAATTAATCGCTGGGCATTGCAGCTATATCAGGGCCTTCTGTAAACTAATTTGAGATGGATGTCTGTGGCTGTTCATGTGCATCTGCTTATTAGTGACTAAAAAACGAAGCTGATCATTGACCTATAAAAAGAAGTTAAGCATGCTTTAACCTTCACCAAGAAAGTTTTAGGCTAGCATCCAGGGCAGAAGCTGTGTGGAATCGGAGAAACTGCTGATGCTAATGTATGCACACCATTTCCATGTCTTTAAGAGCATTATCTACCTTTATATCTTTGACTTTCCAGAAAAATTGCAGCTTTTCCAAACTGGCTACAAGGTGCTGCAGTGATTCTGCTGTCCAGCATGCATGAGCAGTGTGAGGACGTGGTGACTGGCCTGTGCCATGCAGTTCAGATTGAACAGTGTAAGAGAAGAAACAAAAAAGCATTTACTTACAGGTTCACCTTTAGCTCCGGGCTCACCCTTGGATCCAGGAGCACCCATGTCACCCTAGAGAGAGAAAACAAGTGAAGAAGAAGAGGGTCAGTTTTTTTTTTTTTGAGAGGGCTGAGATCCCTTTTTATGTACCTATCACAAATCGCCACTGCCTATTTATAACATACTCCTGTGCTAATGCACAGTTTCCTTTTATTCTTCCATCATCAAAGCTTGCATCGTTATACGTCAGTCCCTTTGGTCTATCTTTAGGCCATTGGAAAGAAAACAAGTAAAATGTCTGCCATTCCTCTTTTGCAAAAAAGCTGAATTTTCAGCACAAGAAGCTATGCATTATTACATGTTAAAACATCGGGGCTCTGATCATTACTGCCTTATTTCTAAGAAAGGCTAATTTTAATTCTGAGTGTCACAGACTTGTTAGATGTCATCAGGCTTAGCTCAGTCATGTGACGTCCTGCTCCACAGACACAATGCTGGCCAATATGGTGGAGTCTGGTACGCAGGCTCAGACTGGGTCCTTGTGGTGACTACAGGGATGTGCCTCTCCCTTAGGGAAGTGAATCTAAATTGTGGGGGCCCCTAGAGGTGGCAGTAGACTAGTTATTGCTTGCAGCCTTTTGAACACCTCTTTTACCGTAGACGTGGGGGGCCTGACCAATGTTGCACAATCTCTGTGGACTCCTTTCTGTGAGGAGTGGAGACGGGGTGCAGTCTCGCTCCCACGGTTTTTATCTTGGATTTGGGTGGAAGGGCACAGAGCAAACTACCTCTTAGCTGCCCATTTCCCATAATCCACAGGTCGTGCCTGTGATAATGGCGACTTACGTTGTTGCCCTTGGCACCAGGAGCACCGGCCTGGCCCTGAGGTCCGGGGGGTCCACGGGGTCCAGGGAAGCCAGGGGCACCAGCAATACCGGGAGCGCCCTGCAGGAGGATGCATAAGAGGAGTTAGATCTCCAGGGCACGCAAAAATAAACATGCTTAAAGGTATGCTGATGCATTTTCTTATTTATCATCGTATCAGTCATACTTACAGGGCCGCCTTTAGCACCGGGAGCACCATCAGAACCAGGGTTTCCCTAGAGAAGAGAAGGAAAAGCGTTATAGGCTCCTGAAGAAGGCTGGCAGACTCGTGTGCATGGGTTGCAGGGCATCTGTGATGGGCATACTCACAGCAGGGCCGGCAGCGCCAGCAGGTCCAGGAGCGCCAGGCTCACCACGGGCTCCCTGAGGTCCTTCAGCGCCACGAGCTCCCTGAGCACCAGCCTCTCCCTGTGGTGGGAAAGAGAATTGCAATCAGCTCCAGTCCAGGCCCAGACGGCACTTTCTTAAACCCTCCCCGCAGGCGTCAGGGCCTGCCGAAACTGGCCTTGTGATTTCTTTTATCTAAAAAACAAGCCCCCATGAAATTAATCCAATCGATTAAATTGAATTCCCCACAAGTTTTCTCATAAAATAAGAAGTTATGTTTTTATCTTCTTCTGCAAATACTTCCTGTTTTGCAGTTCAAATCACTGTATAATAGAAGAGTTATCAATTCTGCACACAATATAGGCAGTGTGGTAAAGATGCCAATCACTCCTGCCTCACTTTTCTTGCTCATACAGATTATATTGTATGCAGCTACAGATCATGTATTTGGATACTCAGATGACAAATGATATTATCATCAGTGACAGGTGATTTATATCTGAAACCTAGAATCCAAAACTAAAAAATAGTAAGAAATCTAACTGAATTATTTGGCTATGACCATCCAACCCAATCTAACAGTCTCAGCAGAACAGGTGCCACAGGTTTGCTGCCACACATATCTGCTGTCATTCATTAACAGCAGGCCTAAATGTGCATTTTGAAAGTAAAGTAAAGTGGAATATAATAACAACCAGTTCCTTTCCCAAGGACCACTTGGAGAAACACACATATGGTGAGGTGATCCTCCTTATTCATTGTCCTATAATCTTGTGCTGAGGATGATTTTAACCTTACAGGTAAAATGGATCTCTTGGGCCGGTCTGCAGGGCCCCATGCTGTTATGAATCTGACGGCTCCTCCCCCCACTGTGTGGATCATGTGCAGAGAGGAAGGTGAGAGTTTCTTACCTTAGCTCCAGGGCCACCGGGGAATCCAGGGGGACCAGCAGGGCCAGTAGGTCCCTAAGACACAAAGAAGAGGAACATTAACCCAGTAAAACAACAGCCATTATCAATATGATAATACTTGGAGGTAATCAGGCAGAGCTCCTGCACAAACTGCTGTACAGCAGTAGTACATGTGCCATGTTCTCCTGAGAGAAAAATTGTGTTTTGCTGTATGTATCTGAAGCTATATGTGTATGTTCTTAGCACAAGCTTTAAATGGACACTGGGACTAAGATGCTTATTATTCCTAGGGCCACTGCCTTGCACAAGGCCTATAAAGGCTATAGAGTTTACTGTCATTTTATTCTCCGATTTGATACTTACAGGAGGTCCAGCAGCACCAGCAGCACCATCGTTGCCACGAGCACCCTGTAAGGCAACACAAAAGGACGGGCGATCAGTTTGGGAATTAGGTGATGGATAGAGGATTTGCAGCAGCTGAGTCTGGCTATTGCAACTACTGCAGCCTTCTTCAGCCTTCTACTGCAGGGTGGGTCTGAATGTGGCCATTAAGCCCTAAAACTAGGCTAAATAGTAATTCTGACTACAGTATTATTCATTCAAATTTGGAACCACCTTTTTTTTACAAGGTGTCAGATATGTCTTGAAATGCATATAATGAATTACACAAATAGGGAAGATATTGCATGTAGGACTCTCATCCTGATTTTTTTTTTTTGTAGGAACCTGCAAGTTGAAGCACATGGAGGAGCTGACAGAGGAAGATGAGGGACTGATAGAGGAAGATTTGGGGCTGGGGGAGCTGGTTCAGACATGTGGCTGCATGTGGAAGGCTGCATAGCTCCACAGTTTGGTTAATCCTAGAGCGGAGGTGGGTGCTGTAGAGTACATGATGGCAGTAGAGGGAGATGGGCAAGTGAGGCCACAGCAGTGACTCCTGGGAAGGCAGGGTGAGAGCCTCAGACAATGACAGTGGGGAGAAAGTAGAGAGAAACTGAAGTAAGGGAACGGGGATATCCATCAGTTCTGACCGAGCTCTGGCCACCCTGGCTGGCCCGAGATCGACCAAGCTGAGCCCAAGGATACTGGGTTCAGCCAGTGCCCTGGATGTGGCCAGAGATGGGGTAGTGGGGAGCCCTGAATGAATGGGCAGTGAGGTCAGAAGTGAGCCCGAGGGGAGTAGGGAGAGTGGATGAGGAGGAAGGGAATAAATGAAGGGGTTACTTACAGCGGGGCCAGGGGGTCCAGGGCGGCCTCTCTCACCAGGCAGACCACGAGGGCCCTGTGACGGACAGAGAGAGAGAGAAAATCAGAAAGATTCCTGGAAAATCACATCCACTCCTGTAATACAGAATGGCTGTTGTGTTACCAAATAAGTCCCAAAGAAGGCCCTGTGAATAGGCCCTATTCCATGATTCTCAGATTCAAGCATCAAAAACTATGTGCTTGTCAGGATCTTATCAATGTCAAGCAATGAAATTAGCCTTCAGAAAAACATTCACTCATTCTTATAACAACAAAATCACTGCACAGAGCCCATATTTAACAGAAGATGTTGTATGCAAGGGAATGACTTTTTAAAAGTTAGTAATTGTAGAGTACCACAATGTCAGTGCTGCTCACCGACACCAGATGTTCCACTCTAAAAAGCCTGGCTGTCACGGGCAGCAGCTGCTCACTTGAAACATTATGGATTAAAAAACCTGGCTGCAGTACAGCTGCACCAGCTTTGGCATTTGAATTCCTCTACACTGAACTGGCCCAGGGCTGCACAGAGGTGCAGTGGTTAGCGTTGCTTCCTCGTAGTGCTGGGGCCCTGGGTTTGAGTCCCGGGCTGCTGTCTGCGTGAAGTCTGTGTTTGTGTGGGTTTCCTCTGAGTGCTCTGGTTTCCTCCCACAGTCCAAAGACATGGTAAATTGTGACTTCTTGGTGGTTTGGCCTGTCTGTGTTTGTGTCTGTGTGCTCCCTTCGTAATAATGGACTGGCTTCTCTTCTGTTTTTATCTACTGCCAAGCCAATGGACGATGTAAATGGCGTTCAATATTAAAGTATAAGAAAACAGCTTCGGCCCGTTGGACCGCGCTTGGGCGATCGAGAGAGAGAGGCTCACCATTGCGCCAGGGGTTCCGTTCTCACCAGGTGCACCAGGCTCGCCCTAGGGAGGAAGACACAGCCAGGGTCAGCGTCGCCCCACAACATCATCGGCTGCAAAGCCGAGGCTTTATCAGAGGAGCTGGACGTCCGCTACCTACCTTGGGACCAGCGGGACCAGAGTCACCCTTGGCACCATCTAGACCGCTGAAACCCTAGATGGGAGGACAGAAAGAGAGAGAGGCGGGAATCAGAGAGGGTTGAAGATCTGTCCTGGTACAAATTTCAGATGGGGGGAAAAAAAAAGAGGCCAGCTGGAAAAATGGCTGATCTTACTCTGTGTCCCTTGATGCCAGGCAGTCCGGGGGTTCCTGGGAATCCACGTGCACCCTAAATAAGAAAAGAGACAGGGGTACTGTCAAACCTCCCTGGTCACATTCGCAGTGCTCTGCATTGCCACTTCAGGTTCACCACAGGTAATCAGTTCACACAACAAAAACAAGATTTGATCTTTATCCCCAAATGTCTGCTTGCTGTAAATCTGCTTCTCTTCTTCTTTATATCAGCCATCATTTGCTGCCTGTTGCTTCTGCAGCTATTACAGCACAAATATGAAATCTGGTGCTTTGTTTTCTTCTGTGAGGCAGGGCTTCATTATTCTACAACTCATGCAGTTGCCACTCCCATAAGGTGCGGATGGCGAGTGATTTTCACGGAGAGTTCGGCAGAGCCCAGCTCAGGTAGGACAGGTAGGTCATTAGAACGGGATCTCACCTGAGGGCCGGAAGGACCGCGCTCACCAGGACGGCCGGGCTTGCCAGATTCACCCTGTGCAGGAGAGGAAGGAGGAGGACAGGAAGGTGAGTCCGGGCAGAAAGAACTGGAGAACACAGGCAAGCTGCTGGCGGGGCAACAGCAGTGAGTGAGCTAAGCATGGCTGCTGTCTTTCAGAGTTTTGAAATCCTTAGGTTTCCTGAAGGATGTTCTGAGAACATAAAACGTGTTTCTTGCAACCTCACGCCCATCAATCTGTAAGCCAATATATGGGCAAACAGGTTGGTTGGGTGGGTTGGAATCTCTGACCCCCTGGAGTCTTACTGTGCTTCACTGATTTGAATTAATGGGATTAGCTTCTGCCTTTAAATGAGGTGAAAGAGAGAATACCAGCATGTGAACCCCCCCCCCCCCACACAGGCCTCAGCAGCAGTGATACTGCTGAAACCCTGAACATCCCTGTGCCCTGTACAGCTGTGCAGCTGATGTGTGTCAAATAAGGTACTGATGACCTGAATGATTTACAGTCAGGCCCAGAGTCTGAAGATGACCTAGATGTAGAAGGCAAGCTGACCGTGTGCCTGTGAGTCTGCATGGCTGTCTGCAGGCTAAGAATCTGCAAGTCAAGTGTTGAAATGCTTTCAGACACTTACATCATCTCCGTTCTTTCCAGGGGGGCCAGGGGGACCTCGAGGACCCATAGGACCCTAGTGAAGAAAAATACAACACAACACACTGAATGCATGGAAACCCAACACAAATACCATAAATGTGTGCAAAGAGCATTCAAAGCAAAGTAAGGGGATTGCAATGTGGTGACGTGGGAAACTTTGGCTATCATTTCTCTTCCAAGTGCTACAAGTGACCTCAACTGAAGCAGCCTTGCCAGGGGTCTGCTGGGAACAGATCTAACACCAACAAGTCTGTTCATCATGCATATAGCTTCATCATACTGACACATGTGTGCAGAGAGAAATAAACCAAGTGGGTCTCATTTCTATTTAAAAAGAGACCCAGACTTCATATTGCTTCTCGGGGTAATGCAGAGAAGGTGCATTTGAGGAAAGAGAAATTGACTTAATTTATAGGGAGTATAGAAACTGGCGATCTAGGAGAAGCAGTGTGGTTCACACAGGCTACCAGGGAAAAAACACCCTGATCTGATACTTACAGCTGCACCAGGCTCGCCAGGCTCACCAGGGGGTCCAGTGAATCCTTGAGGGCCCTAGAGGATCAAAGAAGAAAAGCAAGTGGATTAGTCCAGGCAAGCTACACGTCGGACATGTCATGGAGTAAGAATGGTGTCCTGCACCATAAAGAATATCTGCAGCGATAACATGAGGTCAGTGTACCAGCCAATTCAAGAAACACAGAAGTCTGATATGCATCCTTTAGCAGATGCAGCTGTGAAACCCTTCATTCTTACAACTCATTAGGTGAATTATGTATTGATTTGCATTCTGTAAAATGCCATTTTATTGTCCTAAATAGAGCCTTTTCATTTAGCGAACAACACGTGGTCTATATTCATCCATTACCAATGGCAGAATATGCCCAGCATAAGACAGGTAGCCAGTTTCATCAATCAAGTTTGAATGAATTGCTCTAAGGCCTTTTAGGCCATGACATGGCAAAGCAGATATCCTGGGTGACAGTGCTTGTGCTCATTTCAAAGTAACTGATGAATGAACCAAAGCTGGACTTACAGAAGCTCCAGGGGGACCAGGTGGACCACGGGGACCCATGGGACCCTATTGGGCAGGAAGAAACAAGGAGAAGGTGAGCAAAGTTGGTTCAGCAACAAGTATCAACACTCTTCTTCTAAAACTAGACCGATCTAACCATTATGAGTAAACTACTGTTCCTTTATAATACAGAATGATAAAAAGAAGCATATTTTGGGCCTTGAGTTAGTTTGTTGTATTAACATAGAAGAAATATATATTTTTCATGTCCATGATTTCAGAATACCAGTTCTGGTGATATCACCCATTTCGAATACAGTGTCAGGCTCCCAAAAGACAAGAAACTCTTCCACCTCAAAGCTCAGCTCCCCCTGTTCAGGCCTAATGGCCAGAACCTGGGAATTCAGGGATCAGAAGCTCCCTTTTCTGGGCTACTGGGATGGGCTGTTCCCAAGTCGGCAAGTGGCGACTCGGTCGGTCTGCCACGGAAGGAGAGGAAAGAGAGGGCAATGTCCGTACCATTGGGCCAGGAACAGCCATTCCGCCGCCAGATTTCTCATCGTAGCCACCAGCCATTTGAGGAGAAAAGTTCTGCAAAGGAAACCAAGAAGAAGGGGTCAGTCAGGGGTCACAGGTTGGCAAAGTTCTTCTTTGAAGGGCTCTCTCCATCTGTGAGAGGCAATAGGCCACGAATGGAACCAGATTACTGGTGGAACGTCCTTGATTGCACAAACAGCTAGACAGAGTTAATCCTTGACATGCATTATCCTACACTGACCTAAAGTCCTGGTTTTCAGGCCTTACGTACAACACAGAAGGTCCAGCAGAGCAGGTGTGCCCCAGCTAAGACCACTGCTTGTGCACAAGCTCGGTGGATAGCTTGTCCCTCACCAGCACTGCAAAGGCTCTTTCCTACACTAGGAAGTCACGGGCCCAGCCCAGAAAATCATCCAGGAGCCTCTTGGACTCTGCAGGATGATCCACAGGCAGGGCGGCCTGATGGGTCTCAGGAGGAAGGTGACCCTCTCCCAGAGCACTTCTGGCTCAGGGAAGGACGGGGACAACGGGGCGGGGTTTTCCAGAGTCCGGTTTCTCCATACTCACTCCGCCAAGGCCAGGAGGTCCAGGGGGGCCGGGGGGTCCGGGGAGACCAGGCTGGCCGGGAATGCCATCATTGCCAGGGGGGCCAGGGAGTCCCTGCAGGAAAGACAGGGGGACAGGTGTCATGAGCATCATGGGAGAAGAGCATTGGACAGTCCCCGTGGCACGACTGGAGCACAGCGTCACTGCCTCGCCGTATCACTCTCCACTAGCTCCAGCTTCCCACCCGAAAGCAAGCCAATACAATACACAGCCAATAATAAGGATCTCACTACTGGAGCCATCCTGACATCCTGCTCTGAAGTGTCATTCATTTAAAAAAAACAGGGAATGTCAGGGCTATGTCTCTTAAGGAGCAAACTGTGGACAAGGTGTCCACCAAATCACCTGGGCTTTGTATCAGGGGAAAACAAGGACCACAGCCTCAAAGAACACTAAAACTAGACTGAAACATTTTCTGTGCCTTAGACTGGTTTATATTCTTTACATTTTTTAAACATTGTCTTTTCTCAAATTCATAAGTATTACTACTGGAGCTTCTTTTCAAAGGCACTGATGCTGTATAGGAGTACAGCATTAAAACACCATTACTTAATTGATTGTTAATGGCTGTTATTAATACTGTATAGTATTAGCATTTATAGCTGTGCTGAACTAAATGCCCTATTGGAGGCTTGCTTTGCTGTGGCCTGCCTGTAATAAGAGACCTGTGGCAGGGAAGGGGAGGGTTTGCAAAACACTACACACTGCCACATGCTTTGTTAAATGCAAAAAAAAAGATATAAGAACAGTCACAGCAACTAGTAACAACCCTTACTAAGGGTTATGCTTAAAATTGCAAAAGGGCATTTGAATCAAAAGCTCCAAAACTATTGAAAAGGTAAAGTGCCGGCACAGACAGATTTCAGAAATTCATGCCCCCCCCCCGCCAGTTCTGACAAAGCTTTGCTGCCGTCCTGCTGGACAAATGCATCAACTACATCTTCTTGGCCAAACCCCCCCTCCCCCTCCCGTCCTGCAGCTCAGCGCCACCACTCTGAGCAAGCACTCCTCCAGCAGGGTGCGCTCTCCAGGGTGAAGAGAGGTACAGCTGAGAAAGCTAAAGGCTCTCCCGAAACACGTCAAGTCACCGAAAATCTGCCCACTGGAGAAGGTGCAAACACACTAGCTGGCCAGCAGAACCAGCAGGGGCTCAATGAGGGCCGGAGCACCTACCCTGTCTCCTTTGGGTCCACGATCTCCTTTGGGTCCCTGGAAGAGGAGACAGAAGAAGAAGGCAGGATCAGCGGACTGCCCAAGAACTCACACGCCGGCACAGCCTTCAAACGCACTCTCGAGCCCCACATCTCACTCATCGCCCTTTCTCATTGTAAATCAAACATTCAGATAATCCACCAGCGTGCAAAATCACAAGGTGTATGCCTTTGTTCTTTTCCAGCATTATTATTAAAACCACTTGTGTAAACCAAGAAAGTCTGTCGTACGTGTCTATTATAGCAACAGACACTTAGCACATGATATACTGTGTAATTATGTATTTGTATAATTCCCGTCAATAAAAAACAAACATTTAGAATAGTAGTAATTGCACGTACCTCAGCCGCAGGTTCTTGAGACACTGCAAAGGAAATAAAACAGTATTTAAAGTACTGTAATGTAATGTATTTAATGTAAGCAAAAAAAAAAAACTTCACTAACTAAACGTTATACACAGCCTGACAGGGAATGCAGGGTGAAGCCTCTCGGAACCGGCCCGGCCAGTCGCTGACAGGACTGGACCCCGGCAGCGGCCGGCGGGGGGTTCCGGTTCCGTTCACACCAGACGCGGTGGGAAACGGGAAAGGGAAAGCGGGCGGGTGGAAAGAGTTCATGGGGCCGAAGCCCCGAGGCCGGTTGAGGCTCATCCCATCCCTCCCGCTACTTAGCGGCGAGTTTGTGTTCGACGTCACTTCCGGCCCTCGAGCGAGCCGAGCGCGGCTCCCCGCGCCCCTGCCCCTCGCGACTGCGGTATCTCACGACAGCTCGAGAGACACCGCGGCGAAAGGAAAGGAAAAGCAGCAGCAGAAGAAGAAGAAAAGAAGGGGGTGGGGGGGAATAAAGATGTCAATGTACCCTCGCCATCCGGGCAGATGGGGCAGCACTCGCCGAAGGGAATTTCTGGATTGGGGCAGTCCGATGTGTCCTCGCAGATCACCTCGTCGCACATGACGGTGCCGCTGTCGCACACGCAGATCTGGCAGGGCTCAGGTTTCCACACATCTTTATCGTTATACAACTGACCGTCCAACGTACAGCTGCCGGCTGCGCCTGGGAGGGGAGCGACAAGCACACTTAGCGCGCGCGCCACTGCCGCTGCCGGGCGGCCGGGACCCGCCAGGGCTTACGTCATAAGAATGACGTAAGCGAATCCGTGCGTTTGGCACTGAGGTTGACTGGGAGGTCTGTGGCCCCTGTGGCGCTTGTGAATAACACAACACGGTGCAGACGATGGTGCGGACGACACGCAGACACTTGAAAACCGATTGCAAATAAATTCAAAATCCTGAAAACTATTGACCTGTTAATGTGAAGTTTCAACTGATCATGTGTATGTAAGGTGCATACACGTTTTGTATAGGCTAACGTTTTAAAGTCTTATCTTGTGAACTAAAAACAGCCATGCGTGCCGGTTTTGTCGAAATGATCCCGATAAACTAAAATGCGGTTTAAAAATCTAAACATGTACCATGAATTGCGCCAATAATGGTACGCGTTGATTAAAAAAAAAAACTTTTGAGGTGATAATCTATGAACTCTGTGTTTCTTTATATCCTAAAAAAGTCATTTAACCGCTGGAGTATAATAATCATTTAGTAAACCAAACGGATTTTGAAGTGGTAGATGACTGAATAAAAAAAAACCGCTGTAATAACTTTAAAACCAAGATTGCAGTTCCAAGAACTGTCCGCCAGGGGGCGCTACACGCCAGTTTAATCTCCACCTAAGAGCTATGGAGTTCAAGCGCAAGAAAGCTGATTCCACGTCCTACTGCGGTTTGGTTCAGAACTTAAAATAATTGAATACAGTTGTCTTGGCAGACACGTCTTTGTTTTCACGGGCTCTTAGTAATTTTCCTCTCACACTGTCTTAAAAAAATAAATATCGGGGCAGTACTCGGAGCCTCCGAGCTGGGGCAGTTTCCAGCTGCTCCCGCTAAGAGGCGCTATAGGACAGTGGACTAAAACCTGGAGCCAAACGCCCCAGTCCTCAAAAGTTTTGGATGAAGTGATGTCTAGACTATTCGGCTTCAAAGACGTTTACTTTACCAATTCCTTTATAAATATGAAGGACCTTTCTGGTTTGCTTAAAATTAATTTCCATTCTGCAATAGTCTTTTTCAGAAATACGGACTCGGCAGTGACGGAGATGGTGCTACCCCGAACGGTAACTGAATAACGGGACTTTGCAAGCGCTATGTCAAGGAGTTTGGGGGCGAAATATTTCTGTAAATATTTTTTTTTTATTTTTAGATTGATATACTGGCAATATATATATATATATTGGCCCATTTTGGCTTCTGAGGGGGCCAGTTCTCGGTATAGCCTCTTGAAAGGGTTTGTTCACACCCTCGGGCGAGAACGGACCCCAGTTCTGAATAAATTGTTTCTCCCACAGGATTTTGTTTTTACATCTTTCGTCATGGGTGGCGGCCCGGCTATTTGACATGAAAGATATCTGAAAGCTCACGGCCGCTGCCAAAGAAGGCATTGGTCTCTTTACACAGAACTATGAAGATAAAAAAAATATCACACGATCAAAGCAACAGGTCAGGAGTCCCTCTCCTCTTGTACCTGCAACGTTTAAGACCAATATGCAGCCACACAACCCAGATTCAACCCATTCTGGAGCAAAGCTCTTCTTCAGACGTTCTTTCTTAAAACTCCCCCCCTCCCCCGTTTCGGAACATGAAGTATTTAAATATTTTGGTACTTACGGTCGTCCTCGCCTTGACCCCGTGCCAGAAGTACTGTTGCTGCGAGCAACAGCGCTAACCGAATATCCACAAAGCTGAACATGTCTAAATATTAGACATGTAGACTCTTTGAGGCAAGGGGAATCCTGTTTTTAGACTCCAGTCATACAATGGAGGGTCCGGTCTTTGTATCTCCAATCCAGACCCCAGCAGAAACTCCCTACTGCCTAAACTAACGAATTAGCCCAGCTTTTATACTCAAGAAAGAAGGGAGGTGCTGAATTTTCCACATTAACTTCTGCATGTTCAAGTTGAGAAGTCCCTCCTTTCTCCCGGACAGGGGGGCCGTCCTATAAGTTTTTTTTACCCCCAAATCCCAAGCAGTTTCATCTTTTTTTTGCAAAAAAAAAGTAGGGGTAGCAAAAAAAGAAACCCCTCCCTTTTTTTCTGTACAGTTGGAGAATAGGCCATGTCATCTTCCAAATGTCTTTTGGCAATGCGTGGGGCTAGTCTCTCTCTGGGCAGGTTTGGATGGGTTATAATTAAATCCAAACTACTTCACTTCCAGAAAGACACGAGTGCACGACGGCTGAGCTCGACTTTTCTGTTCATTTCAGTTACATTTTGAAGACAATTCTTAGATGTTTTGAGTCTAATAGAAATTTCACTCCGTCATTCATTTATCGGTAGAGTCTTTCTAAAATACTGAGTGTCAGGTTTTATGTGGAATTGCAAAGTGTTACCCATTAATGTGTACAGTCAGTTTTGACCTATTATTAATAATTGTTGGGCCATTTGAAACAAAAGACTTCAGCAGATTCATTCAACAGCAATTGTTTAAAATGTCCAGGTTGTTGCTTAGTGTTGTGGAGAGAGGGAGTTGATTAAGGTGATGTGGCAGGTCTATTTCATAGTCGTTCACTTTGTCTATATAAATAAACGGAGCAGGGGAAAAGATTTGATTTTTAGTATCTGATTAGCTTTTTTACACATACTGTACACAGAAAAAAAAATAATACACCCTTGACTATTACATATCATAAATCATCTGACCATCTCCAAAAACTTTGAAACTGAAAAATTCATTATAGATTTTATTTTTTGAAGTGACCTTTATTGCCAGCTCCACTTTTTGTTGCGATAACAGTTATTAAAATTTTGAATAAAATGCTAAAAGGGGATTGTTGCGTTACAGACCGCGTTGGACAGTTAAAATAAATAAAATAGATATATGAAAATGTTATTTAAATCTGCGGATTTATTCAATAGAAGAATGCTGCTCGTATCTTTTTAATCATATCCAGAAATTGTGACTTTGTTGTTACTTCAGGCTGTATCGCTTCAGTGCCACTGGTCTACTTATCCGATAAAACACAATAAAATGCAATAATAAAAGTAACAAATATATTCAAGGATGATACATGTAAGTGAATGAAATCATACACGTTAACAGATTAAACTCTGAGATGCACGACTTCTGAGATGCTTGAGCCAAACAAGAGTCAATGTATTTAGTTACAGCAAACATTCAATTTTATCATACAGACCGGGTTGTTATGTCCCGTATACAGCGAATTATATTAAATCTACATTAAATAGAAATAAAAAAGGTGATTTAAAAAATTAAAAATTTCTCCATACATTCCTTCTTTGGCATCGGTTCATTCCAGGTTGTGGAAGGAAAATGATTCCAATGATACAAGAAACCGTGCAATTACCGCACGGTTATAATTATACTCAAAAGATGTATTTACCACGTAATAAGCTGCTCTTTCTTCCTGGGTAAAAATATACATTGAACTGTATGGTGTTCAGACGCTTTGGTGAAAACAGCGATAACAATATGCTATTTGCAAGGGCTGAGAGTGTGTTGTGGCGATTTAGAGATGAAAAAAAAAACAGGATTTGATTCCGATTACAATTACAAATAACACAGGTCAGAAATAGTAGCGCACAGAAAATCAACGGCACCGTTAATTTAGGCCCGGCTATTCATTGAAGCAATTAATCCGGCGTCTATTTGCTTGCAAGCAGTCTTTAATGTGAGAACGGGTGGACAACCGGGGTTTTAAAGTCGGACTGTGTGTAAGATCCATAATTGAAAAAATATTAAAAAAGAGAAGACGTACAGCCCCCATATAAGTGATATATATTTTTTTTAAATCGTGATATTAGGAAAGAAACATTGTTTCACGGGTCCCCCCAAAAAATGACACGTTGGAATACGGCTGCACCACATGTCGTCTCCCGCAATTTGTACAGACTATAATTAAACGCAAAAGACAGCTCCACCAAAGCTGATGTCTCTGCGTCCGTCCTCATGGAAAGGGAGAGAGAGGAGAGGAATGGCACGATTTCAAAGGATTTTTTTGTGTGTGTGTGTATGTGTGCAATGCACCGCGGACACGTTGCAACTTCAAGTTTAACAATATGCAATCCGAGCTCCATTCGCCGTCTCCTTTTTTTTCTCCCTCTCTCCGCATTTCTTTAAAACTTCTGATACCTGGCAAGTGTCCAAGCAATGTGTCTTTAATTTTTTTTAAGTATGACAGAGAAAAGAATGTGTTCTGAAAAAAAGGGTAAACGCCAACTCATCATTCGGAGTTGAGAGCTGAGCTAATACGGGGAGGTTCATTAAAGTCTTTGTGTCGTTGCACAGGTGATAGAAAAGTGAACTGGCTTGCATCACAATCTTAATAACCATGACTATTTTCAGGCTTAAACATACTCCAAATGATTACTTCTTCTCCTGCACATCTTGAAATTGCTATTTGTATATACAGCTTACTTTATTGGGGGGGAGGGCGAGAGCGTAAAATTATACCATTTGAATTCTTTTTATCTTATCTTCGGTATCAGAAGAAGAAAAAAAAAACATTTTGCAATTAAAAGACATTACGGGAGGAAAAAAAAAACCCGAGAAGTGCACAAAAAAATGCTGCCGAAAGCCAGCTTCACTTTCAGAATTTATGACACGCCCAGTGAAGTGGATGAAACAATGTGAAATCCTTCTGACGTTTTTTTTTTCCTAACACGTCTAACTTGCCACCTGTATATAACCCCTGAGCGCCGCGCAGCTAGTTTCAGTCTTGTCGGGCTGCGAACTGCCCTCGGTTTGGGTCCCGACAGAGCGAGTTTTCAAATGCACCAGGCAGAGTGCACTTTGAAGAACCCGCTCAGAGGCAGCTCTCCAAGCAAAGCCCGAGACCAGAGCCGAGAGTCAGCAGGTCCGGTCCTGGATAGCTCGGTGCGCGTACCTGTCGGAGGGGTCTGGCGCTGTCCCACGCACAAACCCCTTTAATGGTGGTGTGCGGTTGTACGAGGGGTGGGGGAGTGGGCTCTTCATCCCAGTTCATTTTGAACTGCGCTGGACATGTTCGCGTCTAGAAAGACGAAAAGCCCGTAGCCCTCGCAAAACCATGAGCCCTTGTGACCTCCCACCTCAGTATTAAGAATCACCGTTCGAGTTTGCTACGTTTTCTTGTTCGCTGTTAGTTGCTCAGTCTGGAGCAACAGCTCGCACTGGTGATTCTTCGGGGCTCACAACAGATGTTCCTGTTTAGGCTGTCTAATTTATTATACACGAGCTGAATCCTGCCGTGCAATATCTCAGAAAAGAATTTAAATACTTGAATGTAAAGAGGTGTTTTAAAGATCAGTGGAGGCTGACGTGTGTACTGCGCCGGCTTCGTTATTTCGTATAACAGGTTCATGATTAGGGCTACTCGGGCGCTTATGATGTACTATGTCTTGTAGATCAGTGAGTTAATTAAAAAAAAAGTGCACACTGTGTTGACCTGTTCCCTTAAAAAAAGGAAGTGAGGCCTATTGAAGACGACCCGTTCTAGATAAAAACGCCGCTGTGTGATCAAGTCCTAACTTGTTACTAACTTACGGAACTATAATCGTTTTATGAACATATCAACAGAGTGTCATTAAGAATTTAAATATTGATGCGAAATATCAGATTGGATATGTGAAATCAAACAACCTAGAATGTCAGCATTTAAGAGCGCAAAACACCTTTTAACGTAAATGCTCGAACGCCAATCTTAAAACACTGTCCACCTTTCACACACTTTGAGAATACAGTTCTGCCGTGTGTAGTGATTGATTTCACACAAAACGCAACACAACCCAACAGAATTGCGCTGGACACAGAAATCAATGATGCGAGTAATCCGGACTAAACGTTTTTTTCACCGCAGAAAGACACCGTCCCCAAGAGCTGGGGTGTACCGTGTCGCACATGCGCAAATAGTATTTGCTAGATGGTTCAATGAAAAGTCAATGGACAATAATGGACAATGGACTATTAGTCCTCCTGTAAAGCCAATATAAACAAGGTCACCAGTGATTTGACGTCGGTATGACATGGAGCCAGGAGCCCCAAAAGGAACGGGGGTCCCTGCTCGGTCCGTGTTGAGGGGCCGTTGTGGATAAGACTAAGGCTAGATAAGGCTAGAGGCCACATCACGAGCGGATTCTGCTTCCTCAGTATTTCCTCTGAGACAATGGATGAGATGCTGATGAAACAGCAGGGCCTGGCCAACCCCAATGAATGAAATTGCAGTAAAAAAAAAACTAAATTTACCGTAATGTTGCTGTTTCTTTACACTCCTGTAGTCTCGACTATTCCTTATTTTTGTATGCCAGTGTGGTCGTGTAATTGTGGATCTTTAACACTTACTCCATGTGTTTGGATATTTAAAATGGACATTTGTTTTTTTTTCAGTACAGCACTTCATGCGTGAGAAACACTTTTTGCTTGAAGTCAGCTATCCACCAACCAAAAATTAATATAGCTCTTGATGGGATCAAATATGTCTGATGATCTCATAGTATCAATGATCACACCAGCAAGAAGAGCCCTGATGATAACTGTGTTATTGATGGTAGAAGGTCATGTTTATACAGTAAGTTCAAGGCAGAAATAATATTTCTTTTGATGACACGTGAATCTGTCTTCGTGCTCTTATTTGCGATTATGTTTGGGAATCTTTGTGCATTTTCCTAAAGATACGTGTTAATTTGCAAACGGAAATCCACTTATGAGATTTGTGTTTTTTTTTTTTAAATGCGAAGTTTCACAAATTGTGCTCGATCAGTTGAGAAAATATGTAGTCAGTTTTTACCCGTTCACGCATTTCGATTTCCTAAATTTGGGCCCCTTCCGTAACTCCGTTCGGCTCTAGAATCGTTCATTTTTAGAAAGAAACAGGACTCAAAAAG